GGTGATTTACTGAAAGAATATAAGAAGCATAGCCTATTATTAAATATATAGAGTTAAAAAGGACAAGTATGTATGAAATGATCATATTGAAAAAGATGCAGTTTGGAATCTTTATTCCCCTGATAATAAAATCAGCACTTTACAAAATCATACGTAATAGCATAAAAATTCCCCTAAAAATATTGGCTCCTCTCTACCTCCCCATTACAAAAAAATCACATGTATCAATGCAAAGAAAAAAAACTTCCATTTTAACTGTGATGATTCCTTTGATGTACATAAATACTTTTCAACTTAACAATTCCCTTTTGATAGGCACAGACAATTTGCTGTAAAAGGAATCTTGAAGAATGAAAAACTTGACAGTTTTTTTTCCCCCATATGTTTTCATCTCAATTAATGAAGTATATTAACAGGATACACAATGCATCAGCTTAAAAGGAACAGAATATCTAGACAAACAAATCCTACTTTTACATAACCAGTGCTGATGTTAGTAGTTTAAAAAACCTAGCCTTTCAGCATCAGAAAAAGCTTGAACTTCCATGCAGGAGCTGGGGCCACTCTTTTTTATATTCCTGTACCTCTCCATAAAAGCCAGCTTCCTACCCATCTCCTGCCCCTGGACACTGCTTCCTTGGGCAGTTCAGCTGCCACTTGCCCTCCTGCACTGCTCTCTGTGTCCCCAGTGTTCCTCCTCAGTGCTGTGTCACACCCAAGCTCCCAGGGCCTCTAACGATGTCCAGGAGCAAATGTCAGAAAACACACAAGCAGTAAGGCACATATGCTCTCCCTCATGCAACTGATTTAGAACTTTCTGTCTTCCCCCTGTTGATCACAGATCATCTGCCAGTAGAGCCTAAGCTGAAACTAGAAACTTTCAAGTTAGAGCAGAAGCACTAAGGTCATAATAAAATAAAAGAAAACTCCATGTTCCTAAACTTCATACTGACTTAAAGTGAATAAACATGAAAGTATTGGAGGAAATAATACTATATCTGGAGGAAAATTGCATACTATACTCTATATATGTTTTACATTTTTTCACACTTTTTGTAAACATTTATAGATATGTTAGAATTCTAAATCAATAAGATAATTTCAAACAAACAAACAAACAAAAAAATCTTTATGGCTGGGCTGCAACATTAGCACCTTAACTTACCCATATGTGAGAATATACATATAAATAAACCCACACAGCTTACAAAGTCTTCCACTGTGCCAAATATAGCCATGATATGTTTTGGTACTTTCTATATGCTTATGCTGTCTTCTCATCTTGACAACCAACAAAAAAAAAATACTGGAAATTACTTTCTTAAATGAGAGACAGATATTCAAAAGCCAGCACTGAAGAAACTCCTATAAACAAGGAGCTCAAACCTTTGCAAGTACTTTCTCATGTGTATCATAATAACAGTTCCAAAAAACTATCAAATAAAGAAGATGCACAGATTTAGAGAAGGCCAGTCTTGCAGCAAACATTTTAGTTACAATCTTTGAAAGATCTGGGCTTGGTAAATTGGATCTAAGCCTACCTCCTACAGGACATCCAATATCACTCATAATCGCTCTGAAACTCTGGAAGTAATAATAATTCCTTTCTCCCACTTTTTATTGACCTGTTTTTTTAAACAGCATGCAATTTGCATATATAGGCATAAAAAATGTAAAACAGATACACAGATATACATGATCGATAAATAGATAGATGATAGATAGATAGATAGATAGATAGATAGATAGATAGATAGATAGACAGATAGATAGATAGATAGATAGACAGACAAACAGGTATTTATTTACAAAGTATAGTATCTAGGACAAAATGATCTGTGTCAGTAGAAACCAACAGCTTCTACATGATACTGTAATCCACACATCTTGGCATTCTGAAAAGAATGCCCTTTTCAAATATTCTGCATCTTTTTCGTCTCTGGCAAGTAGGCTAAGAAGTGGGGGTTATGTTTCTGATATGTACTCCATATCACCTTCTGGAGCAGTTAAACAAAGCTCAGACCCTGTACTCTCTGAATAATGGGGAAAGACAACCAGAGAGAAAGACTGGTTTCAAACATAGTACTTGATGTTTGAGACCTTTGCTTTAATTGGATTTTGGAATTTATCTGAATTCATATATTTATATATTTATTTATATATTGCTTTTTACCTCCTAAATACACTCAAAAAGTAGCAAACCCTTTGAAATGCTGAATTCAGTTGTTCCAAACTATTATAGGTTACACGAGAAAGCAAACCTTTCCCTTCTTACCTGCCACCAAAGTACACAGAGAACACCTTTTCTAATTTATTGTCATCTTCCTTGAAATAATTTCAATTTGAGTGGCAACTGACTCTTCAGTGCCATTCCAGGACAAATGTGTCATCTATTTTTACATTCTTGGATCCAAAGAGTTTTACAATCATGCATCATTCTTTGTCTTTTTTCACAATCACCCATTTAAGCAACTCCTGACAAGTAAACAACAGCACTGTGTGCAATAGAATTGCTGTTCCTCCTTGTCATGCACAAATGAAATAAAACCTCCAACAGGAAATCAATGTCTACACTTTTCAATGAGTATAATTATGGTAGGAAGAAGCAGGCAAATCAATATGCAGACTGTGAGTAGAAGCTTTAGGTTTGTCAGTCCTTTCCAGTGGCTGCTTACATTTTGCACTTTCACAGAGTACTCCGAAAAACAAAATATTCTGTCTGACAGCTACAACACAGACCACACAACTACCATATTAACAGTACACTTCAGTATCCAGAAAGTTCTATGTATTCTCAGGGAGAAACAGAGGCATCACATCTCACCTGTCCTATACCACAAGAGCTTGGTATAAATAGTGTAGAATTTAAAAGCACTACACAATAAAGATACCACTGTCTGACAAAACCATTATTTCACTGAGAGGTATGATACTTCCCTCTGAAAGGCAATAAAAAGTAAATTCTACACTGCACTGTACATAAAGAACAGTTAAAATGAAAAATTTGTTGTATGACAACCCATGTTGTTAACAATATAGGCAGATCAAGATAAGTGGGTGGATTTGGATCATCATCAGAAGACACAAGGCCATATTTGCCAGTCTATTATGTCACGTTTCTTGAATTCATGATCCTAGGAGTGCAATAACTTTTTATGACATGATGGAGAAGTTACATTTTATACATGCTCCAAATACCCAGGCAAGATAAATGAATTAAACTCAGCAACCACATTGTATTTTTTAAATGTTACTGGGCAATATAGCATATGGATAATTCTGAAGTCTAAAGCATATAAATCATCATGAAATAGCAATGAAAAACACACTGTGGTTGCCAGACAACTTACATCAAATTAATCCCTACCTTTGTAAACCGAAACAGTAAGAAAATATGAGAAATATAAGAAAATTATGGTAAAGAGATTGTTTGTTAAGTCAATAGGGAGCACAGCACCAAAATCACACACAATATTATGGGAACTGATGATAGACTTGAAATCATATCCTCTTCCTAAAATTGCTCATCCCATTCAAAAGGGCTATACCATTTTAGAAGCAATGGTTATTTACATTTCCCATCAAAAATTCCTACTCAAAACACAAGTAGATAAAAAAAAAAAAATGCCAAGAATAACTTTTAGAGAAATAAAAAGATAAAGGTGTTATAAAATGTCTCAGTTTAAAAAAAAAAAAAACAACTTTTATTATTTGACCAATTATTAGTTTCTTTGATGCAACTGCATTTATCTTTAGTCACTGAAAATGTATACAATATTGCACATCCAAACCTATGCTTTAACAATATGCTAATTATACAGTTCAGATGATCTGGAAAGAAATCCATTTCGCACTGATGATATAAGGGAGTGACAGTACAATTTACATTAAGAAATGTTTTCTCATTTTTCTCAAAAATTGGTTTGCACTCAGCCGGAGAAATCTAAATTCGACCAACAGGCATCCCTCCCTGCTTCTCCATGGTTACAAAATAACATGACAATCTGAATGACGGAAAAGATGCACATAAGAATGGGTTACAAAAACTCCTCTGGACACAGGTACACAGGCAGTGAATGTTTTCTTTTGTAATCTGATTAAACAGACGATTGTTGTATAGAACAATATTGCAATGCTAGTAGCAAACAATTCTCAGTGACCTTATTTCAAACATTTTGAATTAGGTCTTCCACATTGTCCAAATTATTCCCCAGGGCAGTTGGCCAGTCCACATTCCTGACTTTATGGGAAGAATTCTAACTGGAAAAGCTAACACAGGTTCCCCATTTGCCTACAGCTTTGTTCACATACCTCTCCTCACTCCAAGTTTGACAGTACTGTACTGTGGTGTACTTTTGGCACACATTTTCCTGACACATTAATATCAACCTGTATAGGCAGAGCTTGAAAGAGAGTGATTGGTTCATTGTGATTTTCCTTTTCGTGTTCAAAGGATACAGACTGCATTGACTGGGAGGTGGCACAGTGAAAATCCTGATTCCTGGCACACTGCTCTTCATCAGCCACAGACATCTAAGCACATGGAATTGGAGGGCTAAAAACAGTCTTGATTTATTCATTTGATTCAGAGCTATCTTGCCAGATATATTATGAAAAAATCCATACCCATAATTTATCCTCAGACTGATACATTTCATTACACTGTGGATTCATGGGCAAACACAAAAAAATGAGTTTCACAAGTTTTTGGGACCATGTAACTTTACAGATACAGCTGCACCAATGCTGCAATCTAGTCTCATTTTATGTAATATTAAAACTATACCAAAGGATTACAAGGATAAACTAATGCAGGTAGTGTCATAGGTAAGACTAATTAGTACTTTCTGAGAGACAGAGCCTGAAAGAGTCTGGCATTCAGAAGTGCAGATCCAGAAATTTTCAAGATTATCAGCAATAGTGGACAGAACAGAAGAAAGATCAACATGGATGGGTCATTTGAGAAAAAGATTACAGACTATCACACCAACCACTTTTTATTTAATAAAGGATGTTTATTTAAATAGTTCAGAGTCAAACTACAACATATTTCCATCAGACAAAACCTGGCATTTTAGAATATTTCTTCAGGCATCCATTTCTTCTTTAAAACACCATCTTCAGGTAACCATTTCCTGGCTTTTAGCTGTGTTATATACATATTTGTCACAGGGAGGAATAGAACTTGAACGCCAAATTAAAACCAGCGTTATTGGAAGACTTAACAATAAGTGTGAAGACAGAAGCTTGTAAGCCTGAGGATAAAATAAATCCATCATAATATAATTCCACAAAATAAAGATGAGGTTAATCTGAAACCTATGAAAATTAATATCAAGATTTTAATTGACCTCAGCAGGTTTCTGCAGTTAGGCCCTGCATGTTCAACATGATGGTTCAGTGTTATTTTGTACTGTTTCTAAAGAATGCTCACCCCACCACCAGTTCAGCCTTCTCTCAGCATTTTATGCATCTCCACTGAAAACTGAAGTGTCTGAAATGATTCTCTGCAGCTACTTCCTTCTTTGCACAAATGGTTTCAAAGGCATTTTTGAATATGCAAAAGCAACTTTTTACAGTTTCTTCTTAAAAAAAAAAAGAAAGCCATGACAAATGTGCAACTCTGCAGTGATTTTCTCTGGAATATGTTAGGATGATAAATTGTGGACTCTGGAAAAAAAAAAAATTGAGGAAATTAATGGCAATTTCAAACACACAAAAATTCACTACACTAGAACATTTCAATGTTACAAAAATAAAATTTTTGAAACCATGTTTTGATTTTCAGATCATTGAAATTACTTCACAACTACAAAATGTCTGTCCAAATTAGGATACTGTTGTAGCTTTTTTAATAAAATTTTCTGGAGGAAAGTGCTTGGGATTTTTGTGCAGAAAAAGTGGTTGGTTTTTTTTTTTCATTTTCTCCAGGAGTTAAGGATTTAAGTCAACAGCTTAAAAGCTACTGACAGCTTAACAGCTCTTTCATTCTTACTTCATTCCACAAAACCTGAAAGCCACCTTCTAGAAAACAGTGAATTTGATCAGTATTTCAACCTAAACACTTCTTTGTTTCCAGCTTCATAAGTGCAACAACATGATAATGATATGATAAATTAGAATTCAGAAAACCAAGTCCTGTTAACTTTCCTAGTACTATCTGCTAGAAGCTAAGAGAAGTCCTAATCTCCCAGTTGCTGTATCACTGCTTTTAATAATGTGAAAGCTTGCATAAGATGAGGGTAACTACCCGTTGTTGCCCCTGTCCCTTTGTTCCACTCTTCTATTTTGTTTTTACAGACGAGAATCATAAAATGTTTGCAGGAGTAGAAGAGATAATTTTTAAAAATCTCCATTTATAATGAAGTGCAATGTTATAGGTGATGGGAATTTTAGAGACAGCACAAACATTTGAAGTCGCAGCAATTGCCTTGTGATTCATGTGTTTGACATCACATACCTGAAAGCCTCCAGCACCTGCTTCTGAAGGCTTGGCTCGTCTCTTGCACCACGTCTGTGAAACAGAAGAAGAGAAAAAGATGAATTCCCATCTGTAAGAAGGCAACATCACCTGCATTCAACCCCACAATGCTGACACTGTGCATAGACATATATAATTACCTGATTCATGCTGTCCAGTTCCAGAAATGCAGGCTGCAGTTGCTGTGAATTTTGCACCTAATACCTCCCCTTTTGGCATTTCCGCTGCACTACTGGCAGCCCACAACAGAAGAGTATCTGATGTGCTTCATCAAGTGAAATTCCCACTCAGCCTTTTATCTCACGACTGTTGGATTCTGCACAAGCAATAACACAAAATATCTCTCACCTGTAAACAATTTACAATAACGTAATCAATAACGCATTTCCTGTGATCCACTCTACCATGCAAGAAAGCAGCATTCAATGAGTGGAAATATTTTAAGAGAAGAAATGACAACAAATTCCAGTCATCATGGTTTTTGTATGATTGCTTTCTCTCCTTTCACATATGTTTACACTCACAGCAGTTACATCAAGACCATTCAGGAGTTCATTTATTCACCTACCAAAAGGCATTGCTAATAACTGAAAATTTTCTAGGGTTCTGCCCAAGGGCTCTGGGGTTTAAACTGCTGTGTTGGCCTTTGCTCACCAATGGAGAAATGTTGCTACCAATTATTTTATCTCACCCACCCTGCATGCCTCTTGTACATAATGATATTTTTGAGGCTTTAAATCTCTTCTAATGGATAGAAATTGAATGTATGGAACTTGCTAACCTACAATAGCACGTTCACATATCCAAACAAACCATAATTTTTCCATACTAAGTGATTTTTGTTCTCCTGTGCTGCACACATTAATTAGAGAAAATAATTAAGTTGTAAATTAGCTTATCTATTTGAAAGACAATTGGGAGAAGATGGGCCAGAAGTGTGGCGAGGAGAAGGGTTATATGGGCTATTTACCCCTGCCCCAGCTTCATATTTTGTATTACACAAGAATAAAAGTGTAGGAGGAAAAAAAAAAAGAGCAACTTATTGGGGGACCCAGTATTCTTTTCCCTCCTTGTCCCTGGGAGCATGTGAGTGGACAAGAGTGTGTGCACAGAGGCAACATAGGAGTAAAAGCTCTGTGTGCCTCCATTTCCTTCAGTGATTCCTTATCTTTTTACCTTTTCTAATGTTTTGTGTATTATCACCGTAACATGCCTCTGGTTATCAAACCTCCTCAGCATTAAAAGGACACACCATTCCCTTACACAAAAAACAAAACAATTCATTCCCACTACAGAGAGCATCACTCCTTTTTCATAAGGGTCTTTTGGTTTTCTTTGTCCTTCTCATTTATCTTAAGTCTCACTTCCTCAGACCTTTCTCTTGGTTTCCGCAGTAACAGAAAACCCTAAAATTAAGTGTTACTGTAATTACCCAAACAGTACCATGGACCTTGCATTCAGTACATCAACATACTGCATACTGCATGGAAATCCAATATAAATTCTTTTTTTGATCTTATTTTTGTTCCTTTCATCCAATGTATTATAATTTCATGCTGTAACATGTAGGTAAAATGGAATTCAGCAATCATGACCACTTGACAGAAAATAGATCAAAAAGTTCTACTAAAATTGTAGACAGCTCAAGTAGCAACAAACATCATGACTGGCTAATCTCAAAATCAAATAACAAATGCATGTTTAATTTCTCAACATATGATTTCAAAGTTCTTTAGGTGGATTATTTTATGTTTTTCATAAATTCACTTTCCCTTTTACAGTCATCCTTTCTAGTTATCTTTGCATGACTTCTGTCTCAAAGACATTTGCAATTTCTTCCAACTTTTTCATTCATATGCACTTTATCCCGGTCTTCCAGATGTCCTTCAATTCTGGCAACACCCAATGTGCTTGTCAGTAACACTTTTAATGAAGTACAAGTTAGAGAATGTTATGTATGTACAGCACCAGACCACATTTTGACTGTCTGGCATCACTCATGTCCAAGAATTTAAAGCAGATGCATCTGTAGAATAAAACTTTGTGTACTAGTTCATCAATATGACTAAAATCTAAAGATTCTAGATAACATTCTAAATAATATGTATTCGTTAATTTTCTATATCTTTTAGAATTCGCTCATTATAGTGCTCTCAGAAAAAAAAATAATAAATTTTTCCCTTGCAAGATTTCTCACTTCCTTTCATCTCTTATCATAAAAGTGTCCTTTGTATAGTCTGTAGCCATTGTACACTTTTTCCAGACTACTGAAAACAAATAATTTAAGTGTTAAACCAAATAATTTTTGTAAAACACACCAAAGAAGCTATTCAAAACCTTTGTATGAAAAGCAAGAAGTGTTTTTTATAAAGAGCTCATATTTTTCATATTCTTGGGACAAACAGTAAAGCAAATTCTACTTTGAAGTGGCCATTTTGTGCTGGATCCCCAAACAAGTGAGGAGCCTCTTCAAAAGACTAGCATAAGGATTCCTACAGCTCACAATTTCAAATGGATATTGTTCCCAGCTATCCTGGTAAGAATATGTGGTAGACTGACTAGAACCAGGTCAGACTGTCCCACAGATTACTCCTTTTCTTCTGTCTTAACCATATGAAATAAATAACATTCAAGCAAAATACTGATCAAATACATCTACTCTGTGTAGGCCTATCTGTTCATGCAAAGGTGCAAAAGTACCTCTCACCTCTTCTTGACATCTGCTTTCCTCTTCTCATTTAGCTATGCACTAGTATGATAAGCCAGTGTTATTCTGATATCCTCTCTATTGCATTACAAATTTTGGGTTGTCTCCCAAAGCCTCAAATCATGTTTAAGGCCACTGAGTTGTCACAAGTGTAAGATTTACTTAAATTTAGCCCCTATTTCTGTAACATTCTGGTAACAGGAACCAATATCCTCAAGAAACTGTTTTTTAATTCCGGAAATGTACCACAGGGAGAGTATGGGGCTGCTACACCCACCTCAGTCTCTAATTTTTGATGCCACAGTTTTCCCAATTGCTGTTTACATCATGCCTTCAGAAAGCACAATGAATGCTTTTGCACTTCAAGCTCACATTTTTACTCTTCCAGAATGTGATTCTATTTTGGATTCCTGCCTCATTTCCCAGAACCTCACACTACCTAGCCTGGAGATCTGGAGATGGCAATCAAGTTTTGAAACTGTAGTATCTAAGTTACTTTGTCCAATTTGAAACTTTTAAAAATTATTTTTAAGGCAAAAATGACATGTAGATTTTTTGTTGTACTGTAGCACTGTCAGTAAACCAGTAGAGTTAAGGCCAGCCTCTTGTCTTTGTTACATTTTTTTAACTTAGCATGATGCCATGTGTACAAAATTCCCAGCTGATCTCAGCATAAATTTATGGGTTAATATATAAACCATACACTTATTGATTAATATGAGAACAGCCTCACTGACCCTTGTCCTTCGAAACAAAAACTGCTTGTGCAAAGAGATGGGAGACTTCTTGGGTACATTAATGTTTTCACTGACCATTCCAATGCAAATAAAAATTCAATTTAAATGTAATCTCTCTGTTTCAAAATCAAATTTTGAACCAAGAACTTTTCTTGAGTCACAATGTTAGTAAAAGTGGAGTTTTTATAAAAATATCCTTTGCAGTTTCTAAATAGCAAGAGATGATTGTATCTTCTCTTGAAAAATATGAAAATAATGTCATGCATCTCAGAAACAGTCCATCCATGAGCTTGTGTTTCAAAAGACTATGATTAAAGACAATATATCTTCCAATAGATTACCATGTGAGTATGAAAGAGAAGTATGTAACATCAAATGAACTTTCACTTATCCCCAATTTCACACCCAGTCATCATCTATATCATAAAACATTCATATCCCTGTATTACTCCAATTTTAATTTCTTCCAAAGGATGATCCAGTCAGTAGTAAACTCTTCTCTGAAACGTAAGAGAAGTCATAATTGGTTGAAACAGAACATTTGTATGCAAGGCACAGAACACAGTTACACATGCATAGGCTTTTATCCCCATCATCATTTGGTGCTGGGGCAGTTGCACATCATTAATGTGTGGGCTTTTCATTCATTATTAGAATTCTGTTGTTGAAGGAGGCAGCCCCAAGACCTGCAGGGAATGTCACGTATCCTCTAGATGTCTCCGGAGATTAATTCTAAGAACTTTGTAACTCTGAGCAGGATCCATTGTAAGGAGTCAGTCATTGTATTAGCATTATAACTGTTCTTCCCTATTTGCTCTGTTTGAAGAAACAAAGTATCTTTCTGCCTTCAGTCTTGACTCAAGGCTACCCTCCACATGGACACCAAACTTTATTTTCTCTTAGATGTGTTTCCATTTTGAGACTTACCTCTGCATTTTAGCAATAGTATTCACTTTTGTTAACATTTCAGTCACTTACAGCAATATGCTGCAGTTCTGTAATACTCTTTGGTATATCCATGTTAAAAATTTATGTAGGCAAAATATTGAGTGAAAGCTGCATAGCTGAACTTCCACTATGGGAATCTAGTTCACGAAGCTGCATATTACACTACTAATTTTTTAAATATCATTATACTAACACCTGTCAAAATATAAATAGGCATACACTTTGGATATATTTTTTACACACTTTATTTTATGATGTCTGCCATTACAGCCACAGAAACAGACCAGTCCCCTGTGGTAGTAGTTTTCCCTAGTTTTATAAGTGATTGTACTCCAACTTCTGCAGATGAGATACAGCCTAATGTAGTATGGTACAGTACTACACATAACACCATACTCCTCTGTACTAGACAAAGGCATAACTTATCCAAAACCCACTGGTATCACTTCCCATTTACTTCAGCTGGCTTTGAGCAGGCATTTAGGAAACAGCCCCCAAAGAGTACAGCTGTGTTTGCACAGCCATTCCCAGGGGAGGGAATGGAACAGCATCCTCACAAAGCACAGAGATGTGCAGTTTCAGACCCATACCTTGGGCAGATGGCAAACCAAAACTTCAGTGGAGCAGAACACACAAAGACCTGAAACTGGAAGTGCTACATAAAGATATTTGTTTGGAGGAAAAAAAATGCCATCTCTTGTCTCAAACAGCAATCTGTACCAACTGGAAGTAGGTTACTCAAGAGAAATGAAAGTGTTTTGCAATGCTTTTGGTCTCCAGCAATTAGTCTCCTTCACTTTTAATTTGCTGCGTTTTAAAATACAGCTTCAAGAAGAAATGTGATCAGCGTAAAAAGACATCACAATAGAAAGTGTAGTGCTGTCTTTGGCCAAGATAGAAGACAAGCCTGCACGGTACTGTATAGCAGTCAGTAGTTAATGTACAAGCTCCTTAAAAGCAAATTTGCTTCACTGCAAAAAGTGATTTCAGCAACCTTGGTGCTTCTCCTGAAGTGTAAGCATGGAGAAAAGAAGAAATAAAAAAGACACCTTTTGATGAGAGGTTATGTAGTCTCTACAATTGAGTAAATTTAGTTGCTGTTGCAGCAGAGGAATGTGATAGGAAATTTTACAGTTGAAGGAGAAATGTCACAGGATTTTGATAAGAGAGCGATGAACTTTTTTTCCCTTGTGCCATTATCAAGGCGAAGTGAACAAAATACATCATTTATAACCCACTGCTCTACCATTATCTCCTGGTGAGACACTTGTTTTAAAACACACAAGGACCTTTTTTCTCCAAGACTAAAGCTCTCTGTGAGGCTCAGT